TTCTTCATGAAACAGCAGAAACAAATCTTATAGAGTATATACAAAATAGCTATACAGTATATGAACCATTTTCTTTATTCTTTAAGGAGCAGAAATGTAACCACTTAGATGTTGTTGAGATTTACTTCCCTTCATCCCTTACTATTGGCTATATTGCCAAAAACAATTGGGAATTTTGAAATAGCTTTTGGAGGTTTGCAAGTTGTTCAGCTCTGCTTCAAAGTGAGGAATGGGGGCAAAAGCATTGCACTGAATGTGTAGGCAGGCCACCACCCCATATTCACTGAACATCAGCTATGTGTGAGTTTCAATCAACATTAACTCTGGGTGAGGCGTGCCTTGGAATTGTATAGGCAGAGAGATTACTCTAAAAGTCCCCCCCCCTAATTTTTGCTAGATAGAAAACTGTTGTCATTTTAATAGAAGACCAAAGTTGGGAACTGAGGCTAAAAGGAACAGACTATCTTGTCAGTAGTCTCAGAATCAACTGAATAGAATATTCATGGATCTAGAGCAGTGGTGGCAAACCTATGGCACATGTGCCAGAGGCGGAGCTCAGAGCCCTCTCTGTGGGCACTTCTTTGAACTGCTGGTGGTGGGCTGTGGAGCCCCAGAATGCACCGGTCGAGGGGCTAGCAGGCTGTGGCTACTGACAGACACTGTCGGCCTCCATGTGCTCACTGGCCTCTGTGTGCAGGGGCCCGATGGTGTCAGGCAGTAGCTGCCTCGGCCCCTGCCTTGCCTTGCCCTGAGATAATGGCACCCCCACCCTGCCTCGCCTCACCTCGCAGGACAAGCCTCCTACCCACCACCCCACCTGCCACAGACCCCCTGGATCTCCTCCAACCCTGCCCAGCTCCCACAGGCGTCCCTCCCACAAGCAACATCGATGTGACCATGCCCAGCATGGCCACACCCATGCAGTCTGCCATGACCACCACAGCCATGACCACCCAGTGGGCCACACCCACCTGGCACCCAGCAATAAATAAGTGGGTTTTGGGTTGCAGTTTGGGCACTCGGTCTCTAAAAGGTTCGCCATCACTGATCTAGAGTCTGACGTCCAGAAATCATAGAATCATAGGACTAGAAGGGACCTTGGAGAATTTCTAGTCCAGCCCCATATCCAAAGCAGGAGTCCATATGCCCTCCCAAATGATTGTCCAATCTTTTCTTGAAAATCTCCAGTCATAGAGCACCCACAACTTTGGGAGGCAAGGTATTCCATTGATTAATTGTTCTCACTGTCAGGAAATTCCTTATTTCCAGCTTGAATCTCTGATGAGTTTCCATCCATTGCTTCTTGTCCTGTCCTCAGGTGCTATGGAAAATAGTTCAACACCCTTTTCCTTATGATAGCCCTTCAAGTACTGTATTGGAGTACTGCAATCATGTCTCCCCTTATTTTTCTCTTTATTAGGCTAAACATCCCTAGTTCCCTTAGCCCAGTGGTTCTCAACCTTTTTAATGCCGTGACCCCCAACCGGTCGTAAGTTGAGGACTACCCAACCGGTCGTAAGTCGAGGACTACTCAACTGGTGCAGCACCGTTTGCAGAATGGGACTTTTGGCGGGCTCAGCAGGGCAGAGACAGCCTGGACAATTCCTATTGGCTTTTGAAAGCCAATAGAATTAGACTCTATTCAAGAGAGTCTATTCTATTGGCTTTTAAAAGCCAATAGAAAAAAAGGGAGTAGTACAGCTAAGGAAAAGGGGGAAATGGCGGACCCACAGGTTGAGAACCACTGCCTTAGCCACTTATCTTTTGATTTAGCCTCTAGACTCCTTATCATCTTTGTTGCTTTTCTCTGCACTCTTTCTAGGGCCTTAGCATTTATTTATTTATTTTGTACCATGATGATCAGAAGTGGAACAATATTCCAAATAAGGCTTCACTAGTGCAGTATAGAGCAATAGCCCACTTTCCAATGATCTTGATGCTATCCCTCTGTTGATGCAACCTAGAATTGTGTTGGCTTTTTTGGCAGCTGCAGCACACTGCTGGCTCATACTTAAGCAGTGATCCACCTGGATCCCTCTCAGTTATTACTATTTACTAGGTACCTTCAATTTTATACCTATGCTTTTAGTTTTGCCTGCCTAAGTGCAGGACCTTACTTTTCTCATCACTGAATTGCATCTTGTTGCACAGAGCTCAATGCTAGTCTGTTAAGATCCCTGTGAATTTTGAGACTATATTCTAAAGTGTTGGCAAATTTCCGCAGCTTTGTCTACAGATTTGATGAGTTCCTCTTTTGTCCCCTCATCTAGATCATTTATGAAGATGTTGAAGAGCACCAGGTGCAAGAGAGAACCTTGAGGTACCTTACTACATACAGTATTTCCCTCAACATAGACATATCTCCATTCAGGTCTATATTCTGAGTGTGGCTCATCAGCCAACTCTGAATCCATCTGGTGGTGGTACTGTCTATTCCATATTGTTCTATCTTACCAAGAAATAGGCTGTGGTCTACTTTGTCAAAAGCCTTATTGAAGTCCAAGTATACTATACCCACAGCAAGGATTCAGTTCCCTGATCAACTAATTTAATCACTTTAATCAAAGAAGACAATAAGGTTTGTCTGGCATGATCTGTTTATAACAATCCCATGCTGGTTTCCAATAATTTCCTTGTTCATTTCTAGATGCTCATGAATCCATACCTTGATGACCTTTTCCAGGATTTTTCCAAGTATTGATGTCAAACTGTCTGTAATGTCCTGGATCCACTTTATCTTTTCTGAAGATTGGAACCACATCAGTTTTTCTTCAGTCCTCTTGAAGTTCCCCGTGCTCCAGGAGCTCTAAAATATTTTATTCAGTGTTTCCAAGATCTGCCAGCTCCTTCAGTACCGTGGGATGTAAAGCATCTGGTCCCAGAGAGTTAAACTCATCCAAAGCAGATAGATATTGTCTTAACAATTCCTGTATTCCTGTTCTGTCTCCCAGAATGCTGCTTTTGATAACTTGGGCTACTGTTTTCCTTTTATGTGTAGACAGATACAAGGAAGAAATTAAGCAGTTCAGTTTTCTCCCTGCTTCCCCCTCACCTTTGTGCCATCTTCTCCCATTAGTGGACCGACCATTTCCTTGACTTTCTTCTTGCTCCTTAGCATTGAAATAAACTTTTTTTATTGTTTTGGGCATTCATTGTAAGTCTTACTTCATTCTGAGCCTTAGCCTTCCCAACTCCATCTTGGCAGATGAGGCTAGTTGCTGGTATTCTGTTCTAGTTATATGCCTCTCTTTCCATTTTTTATACTTGTCTGAATTGTCCCTGGTTGTCAGAGAGCTCTTTGTGCAACCATGCTGATCTTGTCTAGATCTCTTGTTTTTCTTTCTCTGTGATGTTGTTTTTGCTTGGGCTTTTACGAACAAAATTTTTATAGTATCCTGTATTTTTCCTCTTAAGATTTCCATCTATGGAATCCTTCCTATTCTTAGCTGAAGACAGGCCTATTAAAGTCTAAAATACCAGTCCATCTTTGTTCAGTTACCTGTGCCTGCATTATGATGAATTCTAGCATACTATGGTCACTTTCCTCCAAAGTTCCTGTAACTTCCACTCCATCAACCTTTCATCTCTATTAGTAAGAATTATATCCAGTATAGCTGACCCTCTAGTCCAAAAACAATGAATATAGAATCACAGAATTCAAGGAGTCTTAGTGGATATGCAATCCAATGCACTGTTCAGTGCAGGATCCATTGGAGTGGCTCCATGGATGACCATTTATCCTATAGTTGAAGATTTCCAATGAAAAAGTCACTATTTCATGTGGAAACCTATTCTACTGGCTGACAGCTTATATGATCAGGTTATTCCTCCCAATATCTATTCTGAACCTGCTTCCTTACAGTTGTAACACACTGATGGTGATCCTATCCTCTGGAGTGATAGAATCATCCCGTTTTTGCTGTAACAATCCTTTGATATTTAAAGAGTTGCATATCTCTCCCAAGTCATATATTTGCAGGCTAAATGTATCCACTTCCTTCAACTGCTCAACATAAAACTTGGTTTCCAGATCCTTTGCTAACTTGCTAACCATCCTCTGAAGTTGTTCCAACTGTCACTGTTGTTTTATTTAATTAATTAATTTCAGTGACACCCAACTCCATTTCTTTGTTGGACAGCCCATAATGTAGAAAAACAAATAAAATAAAAATATAAATAAAAATATAATACGGGAAATAAACAAAAATGGCAAATCAAACATCAAAACATACTAAGATATGACAAACACAGGACACAAGAGATTCCATCCACCTTCCCCAAGGCCTGGGAGAATAGCCAGATCTTTAAGGGCTTCTGGAAATGCCTTCACGGTTAGAAGCATTTTTGAACAATGATGCTTAAACAGGGCAGAGTAGTTGAAATGGGCTTTGACTAGGACAGAAAAGAGTAGAATAATTTTTCCCATGATTTGTACCTTGGGCTTTTGTTAAACACACCCTAATATAACATTTAGAGCCTTGATGGCACAGTGGTTAGAATGCAGTATTGCAGGCTAATTCTGCCGACTGCCAGGAATTCAATTCTGACCAGCTCAAGGTTGACTCAGCCTTCCATCCTTCTGAGGTCGGTAAAATGAGGACCCAGATTGTTGGGGTCCTCTGTATGCTGACTGTAAACCACTTAGAGAGGGCTGTAAAGCCCTATGAAGTAGTATATAAGTCGAAGTGCTATTGCTATTTATCATTTTAACATCTGGAACGGACTGCTGGCCCATGTATACCATGATCAAAAAGGATTCTTTATGTATTACTTCAAGAGAAAAAATATTCCAGGGAATGCTGTTCACCCCATTCTATGGGGAAACAACATGCAAGACATTCTAAAACTAATTGATATACACCTGTCTTTAAGCTATTTACTACAAACCAAGCTCAGCAGGTTCAACTAGCTGCAAGAAAGAAACAAGCAGTGCATTTCTTATTAGATTTGACATCTATTTTCTCATTCATATTTTAGATGACATAAATGATTCACAATTCTTCCATTTTTGAAGTTTTATTTCTTTATCGGGTATTGGTATAATATGCCTTCAACCCAAGAATACGGATGTTTCTGATATATTAGAGTAAACATACATTTTCTCTTAACAACAAAATCCTCTGGAAGTTCTCCATTTTAAGATAACAATAATTGCATGCTTTTTGTTTACAGCAAACTGATAGTATTATTTTAAAAAAAGGGAACCATGCATGGTGTAAGAAAGTACTGATCACTGTCTTTGTTCATGTACAAATTAAAATTCTTTTTAAATCAGTCTGTCTTTATGTGTGTCAAATGCATTAAATATGTTGGATGGGCAGTGCTTTGGATTTGAAAGGAAAACAGGGCTGCACTCAGATATCAATCATCTTTTGACAAATCGTTTAATCAAAGCCTCTTTCCCAGGGCTAAACTAGGATTATACTAATCTGGAACAAAGATTGGTGTATGACCAAAGAAAAGACACCACACTTTCATGAAGTTGCCAAGGGCTGCATGAGCACTCCTGCACATTCCAAAGCATCATTTTCCTTTTGTATCCAAAGTGCTACACAGCCACATTAAATATATGCTTTCCTTTCTGAATGTTCTGAAATGATCAGAGAAATGTCAAGTATGGATTAGCAATTATCCACTCTAATCTCGTGGCTGAATATGCGAAAATACAGACTGTCCAAATCAGTTGAATTAAACTTCAGTTGAGCTTAAAATTTAAACCTGAATGTGTCAATGAGAAACTGTATAAAAAGCATGCAAAACTCCTAGAAAACATTTAAATAAAGCCAAATGTGCAGTGTAGTCCATAAAAATATACACTGTATATTAAAAGCACTTCAAATAGCAAGTACCTTTTGCCAGGTGCCCCAATGTTAATTCTTTGGCAACTTAAAAAGGGAACTGTTTATAGAATAACAACATTATTTTAGAACTGCATAAAACAAATGGAAATCTCAATAAAAAGTATGTTATTAATAACATAAACTTCTGAATTACACAAATGCTGTGCATAACAAAATTATATAGAAAAATATAACTTTATTAATGTAATTTGAATATTTACTCTTATACCTGTACTTGGAAGTTAGGTAAATCCTTTAGCAAATAATCAGATTTTCTCCTACTTTAAACCTATCTAAGACAACCTCTTATTATTCAAAGTCGGTAAAAAAAAAGAGGCCTCTGGATTTGAGGATTTCACTACTGCTTGCAATATTAAGTTACTACAGGTTGCCGACAAATTGGACAAGTGGAATTTTCAGAAAGCCAACGATCAATACAATGAAAATGGAATTCATGCATGCATGGCAATTGCCTTAGCTTGTTTCCTACAACATATTCATTAATACACACGCTACACGTCTTACTTATTTCATCATCTTCTGAATGGGGATTCTCATAATTCCGGGTAGAAAGATTATCGATCTGGTCTTTGGTCAATCCTCTCAAGTTGTCACTAGAATCTTCTTCTAATAAAAGATAAGGTACAAGGCGAAGGATGGGAAGTGTTCCATTTTCAACAAATGATGCTCTGCTATTTGGGGTATTATTACTTTGATGGTGTTGGATAGAATTTGTTTCTCCCTGCCCTTCCGTGCTATCTTGATCAGTTAATCTATCCCTAGGCGACGTTGTAAGAAATTCACTATTTAAAGTGCGGAAGCTAGGCATTGAGGGTGGTATATCTGGCAAGTGCTGACTATTGCTCTCAGTTTCAGAACTTGTTTCTGTATCCATTAAGGAGCTTAGCTCTCCAAATCCAGTCATAATTTGTCTTAAAATTGATCTGACAGCCACTGATGAAGACTCACCAAGCCCAGTATCTGACCCCCTATGAAGAGGTATCCGAATAGTGTTAACATATGTCCGTATTCCTGCATATTCAGATCGTGAAACATTCTGAATAAATCCTTCATTATCACTTTCAGGAGTCACCAAGTTGTCTGCCATGCCTACTCTTGAACGAGTTCTAGAAGCAATACTGTCACGATCTCTATTTTCTCTGGGACGAATTCGCCTTACCTGAAGATCTAATGTAATACTAGGATGTCTTCTAGATGCAGATGCAGCTCTTACAGATTCTTCCTCTTCCAAAGTTATACCCAGTGACGATGCTTGTTCTTCTGTTTGTTCCGGAGAAGGCTGGGTTGTGTGTGCCCTATTAGTTCCTGCATGTATTTGTTGCATATTGACTGGCTGCCCATTTTCCAAAAGAGATTGGAACTGGCCTCTAAAAGTTGATCTTAATCTTAAAACGTCTGTCCTTTGCCTTGAATTTCTTCGAGTTCTAGCTCTCCCTCTGTAGTATCTTATTGGAGTCACTCTCTGTGTTCTCCTTTGCCTAATGATGTTGTGTTCATTGTCATCTAAAAGGCTGTTAGGTGTTGAACTTGCTGAACTTCTGTTTCTAGCGCCAAGTCTACCAGAGAAGAATCGAGAATTTTCTTCAGCGTTCTGAGTCAGCAAACCACCAACGTTTCCAATTCCTGATGAGACAAATCCAGGGCCAACAGAATTAGCTAATGTCCTGCTCCTAGTTCGGCTGGCTACTGGACTATTTGCAATTACAGGTCTATTTTCCATATGCATTCTACTGGAATGGCCATATAAGAACTCATTCAGTTGTTCCCCAGGAGTATTATCATTGTTCTGTTCATGGTTTATATTTATTTCAAGACTAAACCGGAATTCTCCACTACTTGGGTTTGCCTGGCTTACAGCTCTCCAAGTCTGGTTTCCACTCTGACCACTATGTGTGGAATTTTCTGTATGATGAAATGTGTTCAGCCACTCAAGCAAGGAGTTGCTGGTTATGTTTTCCCCAAGCGTCTCTGAATCTGTGAATAATTTAAAAAATACATTTTTAAGAGTTTTGGTTTGATTTCATTTAGATAAGGCAATTAAGTATGAGTGTCAATTGATAATATAAATGCATGCTACTTATAGAAATAATATGAAGTGTAATCCAATATACTATTCTTTTCTATCTATTTCACCATAGAAAGCTAAATACAATTTCTATTTTCATGTCAATAATTGCTTTCAATACTATAACACATGAGCTATGTCAATTACCAAAAATAGAGTAGAGATTATAGGCATATAAATATTTATATTTATGTATTCTTTATTATCAGCAATGTTTTGAATAAGTATTTTTTTCAAAGTTAAAATAATAGAGTTTGTAAAATTTCATGTTCATTAACTAATTTCACATACCCTCTAAAATTTTTAACCAGATGTTACTTGGTCCAATGTATAAAAAGAAAGAATACAAAATGGTATCCCATCCCGTAATAAGCAATGTTCATAATAAGATGGGGCATTAGTTTTCCGTTAAAGAGGAAAGTAAAAGATTTATATGATCTGAAATATTCCTAGATTCTTCAATTACAATTTATTTCAGATGATTTTTTTTCTTAAGAGAATGCCTTCTTAATGCTTCTGAGAAAATACCTTCAAACAAGGTATGCTCCTTAGTCTTCACCTCCCATCTAAACATTCACCAGCCACATCCAAGATCTACTAGTCTGGTTTAATGGTTAAGGCACCAAGCTAGAAACCAGAAGACTATGAGTTCTAGTCCCGCCTTAGTCATTAAGACCAGCTAGGTGACTCTCTCTCAGCCCAATTCACCTCATAGGGTTCTTGTGTTGGTGAAAATAAAAGGAGGAAGGAGCATTATGTATGTTTGTTGCCTTGAGATATTTATAAAAATAATAGAGGTGGGGAAAAATAAAAAAAAATGGACCAACTGTAGCAACAGCATAGATATTTTGCAGCTTTTACCCTAGAAATAATCAAACATTTTCCAACAAGCACTTTTTTCAAAATTTCAACCTTGGTTTCCCTTAATTCCCTTCTACAGTTCTCCACAAATAATACTCTTCCTTAGCCTCAGAGAAGCCCATGAAGCATGTTGGCTGATGATTCTATTAAATATTTTTTTCTCAACAATATTTATAATTTGCATTTCCCCCAGAACTGTATTAATTAAAAAAGGAAGAAAGAAAGAAAGAAAGAAAGAAAGAAAGAAAGAAAGAAAGAAAGAAAGAAGGAAGGAAGGAAGGATTTAGTTTATATCTAGCATGATTACCTTCCCATTCTCTATTTTCTGGCTCAGACTGGGATGCCTTTGCACTTTGCAAACGTTGCTGCAGCTCATCTGCTGTTATTTCCCCTAAAAGAGTTCATTTTACACTGTTAATGTTATTTATTATCTGAATGCACATGATCAGGCAAAACAACAGTTATTACAACTGAAGATTTTTTTAAAGAAATAAATGTAAAACCAGAATGGTAAAAAAAAAACAAAACCCTATTAATATGCATAAACTGCAAAAAAAAAAACTTTCATAACTTTTCCTTGCAATTATAAGTCATTTAAGAAACTGTATTTGCTCTACCCTGTATGTATTTTCTGTAAGCATTACCCAAAACCAACCAAAAAAGATTAAATGAAAAGAATTTGCAATACGTAGTTTAAAAATGCTGATAACAAGAGAATAAATGAAATACAATTTAAAATAAATAGCAATAAATGTATTTCTCACTCATTTTCAAGGCATATAAGTAACAAATGGTTACTTATCTTTCATGCTTCATGATACAGTAAATTCTGTGTTCAATTTGAACATAAAAGTATTATTTGAATTCATTTTAATTATCAAACTGCAGATAATTCAGTATTACATTAGATGTAAAGTATTTTAAAGCAAGAGTCACCTGGAGTCCCAAGAAGGTTACGATCCCTCATCAACCTGTAGTCTTCATCACTAAGTGCATTAATGAATTGATAATAAGCCTCCTCTCTGTTGAGGCGTTCCTGCTGCCATTGCCTCTCATTATCACCACTGTTATTCTGCGAAGTGGCCTGTTCTCCATTTTCCCCTGAGCAAGCTCTGGAACAAGCCATTCTGGAAGAAATAAACTATTTAAAAAAAGGGAAGAAAAAAAATCAAGTGATTTATCAACTGAATGTTCCATATGGTTTTAAAGTTACTAAAGAAGAAACAATAACACATGTTCACATATTTGTCCATTCGATATATGCATACAATGAACTGTACACTTAATTTCTTTGTGGCATAGCATGAATTGTAGAGTAAGTTCCAAGGTACATAAATTATTTCACATTAAACATATGTAGAACTGAACTTCAGATTTTTATTTGATATTAGAGTGCTAGAGACCAAAGGGTGTTTTTTTGGGGGGGGTAGGTTACAACTGATAACAATCCACAGTTCAAAATGCTATTATGCTACAGTATCAATACTACATACCATTACATTTTTCTTAATCTATCTGTTTGGGGGACATCTTCAACATCAGTCAAAAAGGAAAAGTTACTAATAGCTAACCAGAATAGCATCAAAAGCAAAATATATACATAGAAAACAAAAATAAAACTCCAGATGGTAGGCTCCCATAGTTAATCAGCTGGGTTAGAAACTGCACTGAGATGCTAGTTTTAACCTGTTTGCAAAACTGCAGTAAATGGAGTTACATATACTTCCAGGGAGACTATTCCATAAGTTCGAGGTTATTACAGATAAAATCTGCCATGTCACTCTTTGTCTGCAAATATCACAAGGGATTTTTCAGCAGACCCTCTTTTAATAACTATACCACAGTATGTCAAGGAGAATGTTTAATTTTAAATGCAAGTTGGTCATCACTCATTTCTTCAACAGTTACATATCCTGCAGAGCCTATTAAAATTGGTTTCATATATGCATTTTGCATTTAAAGAATTGTGAAAATCTTTGCTTAGCTACTAGGTAATATGGCCATTACCAATTGCCAAATACCAAAATTATACTACACAGAAATATTAGACAATTAATTTCAATAATTAAGAAGAGAGTAAAGAACTTATTAAATGTAGGTAAGATTTATTCATTTACAGAATTGAAATACTTTATTTAAAAAAATAAATGCATTCAGGTATTTAAAAGCCAATAAAAGTTCATATGAATGAAGAATCAACTGTTAAAGCAGTTCTCAAATAAATATTACCTTTTTTTTTACTCTGTTTTCCTAAGGAGAGAAAATGATGAAGATCTTAACACTGTGTAATGTTGATAATCCTCTGAAGTATACAGGGCATTTTCAGTTTTCCAGAGTTCCTTGAACAAGGAATTGAATTTGGATTATATATAAATCCTATTCATGACAAAATAAAAACATATGCTGAATATTTTGTGATAACAGGCAAAAAAATATTGATCAAGAGGATAATCAGACTCTCCTCTATTATGTTTATAGATTCACCTTTTATAACATGCTATCATGACTACTTTTCTTTAAAAATGCAATGACAGCAGATATATCATATCTGTACAAGTCCTACAGTTTTAGAAATAAGAACCTGCCATGGCATAAAGCAGTATCACTCATATCAGACTGCAGCCTTAAACATCCTTTTGCTGCTCCTTTTTATGGATATTCATTTAACAATATTAAATCTTGACAACCCTATCTCTTATGTGACTAGATCGAGGAATAAGAAAGGCTGGGACATTATCCCAGCAAAAAAAATATGCAAGTAATCCACAAAACTTGTTAAACTTGACATTCCACTAGTATTTTCCTGCCCTCAGTGAACAGGGTTAAGAGCAAGTTGAAATGAAAAGCCTTTTTCCTTTGCCAAGGACTAGTTTCAGGAAACAGCAAATAAATAGGCATTGATAACTGGAAAAGGACTATTAAATACCTTCTACAAGGATCCTAGCAACTTCAGGATTAGGTGACTCTTTTCTTCCTCTGACTATGAAAGACACGTTCCCCAGGAACATATTTTTAATCTATTACAACAAAGGAGTTTACAGTCTAGCAACTTCACTGTAGTCAGCTTTTGCAGACTGATCCTTTCCCAAGGCATCTACAGTATACAATATACCAATTTAGGATTTCCTTTTCCTTTCCTCACCAGTCTGGATTCCTCTCCGTTTTGGCTGGTGGCGCTGATCTCTTCCCTCCTCACCTGGAGACTTAGAGGAGGAGCAAGGGGAGAATGATTAACACCAGGACCAACCAGCCATCCACTGAAGAATGAAACAGGGCTAATTAGCATCCAATTAACTACTTTAGGCCGGTAGTCTAAAGGTAAGTTTATGTAGCAGGCAATTGCCCGAAGACCACAGCTTCACCAGGAAAGGCTAAACGGCAATTACTTATTTTTTCTTTCCCCGTGCCTTCCGAAGGCTGAGTTTCTTACAAACCCAACCTAGTCCACGTTAATCTTCTCTGAGCAGCGGCTTCCAACAAACTGACAAAACCAACTACCAGTCGTTGAGGTGCGGCACCAATGCAATCCCGTCGGGTTCTGACGCCTGGGCTCATGGTTCCAGGGGAAATGCGCACGCGCGAACACTCCTTCGTCCACTGAAGTTGCTCGCGAAAACGGAAGGAGTGACGGGCTTTTCGAACCGGCGAGTACTTTTTCCTGCCAGCTCGCTCGTAAAAGTACACCGGAAACCGAGTCGCTGGGACAGTCTGGGCAGGGTGGGCCGGCGCCTTGCTAAGTATTGCGCGGGTGACAGAGAGAGAGCAGATTTTTTTTTTTATTTTGTGATACAATATTTTACGTAGTATTTAGACGGCCTTGACTGATTGCAAGAAAGCTAAGTGGGATCAGATTTGATTAATCCTCGGATAGGAGGCCACTCAAGAAGGTATTTTCTATCCTGAGAAACGGAAAAAAGTAGTAGAAGAAAACAATGGCAAGCTACTTATATGGGTAGCAAATTTAAAATTATAGCATTCATCATTCTATAGCAAGATTGGATCAATGGACTATTCGTGAAAGTACCCGAGATCATACTAATTTGTTTTGCAGAGTTTCCATGAGGGTAACTGGTATTTCTTTGTATCTGATCTGCATATAAACTCTTGCTATGTTCTTGTGCCTGATCGGTAGATAAACCCTTGTTACGCTCATAAAATTTATCTGGAATTATCTCAACCCAATTATCTGAATTTGCATGCTACCCTAACCAGAAATTAATCAATTATGATTCACATAACAAAAAATGCAATAGTGTAGTTAGCTATTTTTTATTTAGTATGTTATATAAGGACAGTCTGAAAAGACAGGCAGGTCTCAATTAGTGCAGTTAATGAATTCCATAAAATGGTCACATTATTTGAATTTGCCCAATTTGAAGTGGAAAATTGGAATATTTGCTATGGAAAATACTGCAATTGGTTCCAGCTTGATGGCAATAGGCAATGTCAATTTTTAAAATATTTCTGTATATACTTAAATATTACAGTAAAGCATAAAAATATAATTTAAATTTACCAATCTACCATAGATTCATACAGTTCAACAGTTATTGTTTTATGATATGATCATGTTTATGTCATTGAATTACATCAGATTTTTGTTCTTATATAATAATATGCCTATTCTTTTTTGAAATTGTATTGCTTTCCTCTGACAAAATCTTCCTTTTCTCCATTTTGCACATAAAGATTAGCAGTATCTGAAACCTCAAATGCAACTATGCAGGCATTTGCCTCAATTGCATACACGCTAACCTTGAATTAACTGAATTTTGGGTTGCATTAAATGTAACCGGGCATCTGTTTACAATTCATACTAAATCAAATAATGTGTTATTTTAACTCACATGAACCATAAAGTACTTGTATTGTCCCAGAGAGAAACCCCAACACCAGAAACCAAGCAGTGACCCTAAAATGGGGAATAGTATTACAATATCTACAATTAGATATATTGTTTCCTCATGCTCAGTGGTAACGCTTTCTCAGATCCCAAAACTAACTTAGTCTTAATCAATACCCAACTAACTAATTTTGAAGATTCACATACTCCTGTCCTGCCAAATTATTAATTGCTTGCAATCATAATAACCAATAACCATGCTGCATTCATGCCTCATACATAACTAGATCATTTCAAGAAACAGGATGTTGTGCAAATTCATAATCCTTCAGATTATTTTAAACTGAAGCATCCTAAATCAATTGTTAGTACTTTTCTGTAGACAAGTCACTACTACTCATAATAATCCAGTTCTAGATTAATGGTCTTGTACTACCCAGTCAGTTGTCTGGAAATGAGATTTAAGCATAACATTGCTAAACAAAATTGTCCCTCACAATGATAGACCATGTTTTTGAAGGACTTCATTAAGCTGCAGTATTCAAGCCATGCCTGCTGCTACCTGCCTGGCTGTGAGGAAGGGGCTGTGTACATACTAAAGCTTTGACAGTACTTTCTGGTACAAGAAATTTAAGTAAAAACAGAACAGAAGGAAGCAGGGGAACCACATTCTCCAAAATGATTGTCATTTATCCAGTTAGTATATTTATTCTAGATCAAAACAATAAAGATTAGGTAATAACTGACTGGGTTAAACATACAATGTGATCATAACAGTGAGTTTCAACTGAAAGAACATTACAGCAATCACTAAATATGTTGGGAAAATGAATACAATAAAATACTTTGGTCTTCACTAATATTTTATTTTGTAGAAATTGCAACAATTTAATTACATCAGAGATACTTAACAGAATAACAGAGTTGGAAGGGACCTTGGAGGGCTTCTAGTCCAACCCCCTGCTCAAGCAGGAGACCCTACCATTCCAAACAGATGGCTGTCCAGTCTCTTCTTAAAAGCCTCCAGTGATGGAGCACCCATAACTTTTGGAGGCAGGTTGTTCCACTGGTTAATTGTTCTCACTGTTAGGAAATTTCTCCTTAGTTCTAGATTGCTTCTCTCTTTGATTAGTTTCCATCCATTGTTTCTTGTCTTGCCTTCTGGTGTTTTCAAAAATAGGTTGATCCCTTCTTTGTGGCAGCCCCTCAGATATTGGAACACTGCTATCATGTTGCCCCTAGTGCTTCTTTTCACTAGGTTAGAGATATCCAATCCAATATCCGTTCCTCATGTTTTAGCCTCTAACCCCCTAATTATCTTCGTTGCTCTTTTCTGCACTCTTTGCAGAGTCTCAACATCTTTTTAATAATATGGTGACCAAAACTGGATACAATATTCTAGGTGTGGTCTTATTTATAATTTTTATATTTAAAAAATAAATAAGATATTTCATTCTCTTTATAACGCTGCCCTTGTTTGAAGCAAAGTACTATATAGGTTTATTTTGGAGAGAGGATAGTCTATGTTGCCTCAAACTCCTCAATGAAAGGGAGGATAGAAATCCAATAAATAATAAAGCAAATTTCAAAAAATCATAGATACTCTACAAAATTTTTTTTCCAACCTGGAAAGTTCTGGGAAAATCTGGGAATTCTGGAAGCTGTAGTCCAACTGCAACTGAGAAAGACCAATTTGGAAAAGGCTGTGTTACAAAAATTTAACAGAAATAGATATTATTGATATTAATCCAAAAAATGTTGTTTAAACATGAAAATACTAAAAAAAATTAAAATAGAACAGTTTGGTTTGGTATAATAAGCTTGTTTCCAAAAATAAACTTGTAATGGTTACATGAAATTGTTTGCTTGGCACTGCAATTTACTTTTGTCATAGATAATTTTGCCTATTTATCAATAATTACTTTATATGCATGGCCTGTTTAAAGTCAGGGTATTATTTAGCTGAATCATCAAAAGATGATTAAGTTTGCAATTTAGTGAATCAGTAATTCACATGATTAGTTTTAGGATTTTCAATTCTCAGTCACAATGATTTATTTTTTTTAAAAAAAATTACCTCAGTTTCAAAAACAGTGGCAATGAAATGTTTATCTAACTGACCAGACAAGTAGAGGAGAGGAAAAAGAAAACACCCTGCAGTGTTTTTTTCTGAATTGTAATTAACATTACTGCTTGCTCATGTCTGCACCAAAAGCTCTTATTCAGTGCTAAGGCATAACTTTCGTAGTTGACAGCCTGTGGCACGACCCTGTAAAAAAATTAGCACATCACTGTAGGCAGTCTACAGTGATAGAGCTCTCTAGTGTACAATTTATAGCATAAGTTTTGAGACAAACTAGTACTGTGATTTCACCATTAAAAATGTCCATTAAAAGTTATGGAAGAAACCTCTCTGCTTAGGTAGTGCTTTTCACAAGCTCACACAGGAGATACAGATAGTTCTCAAATGAGGAGTCTTATGAGTGATTCTTGAAGTTGCAATTGTTGCAGTATCCCTGTAGTCATATGATCATGATTCAGACACTTGGCAACCAGCTAGCAATTACAATGGTCACAGCATCCTGCAGTCATGTGATTGCCATTTGCAACCTTACTTGCTGGGTTCCAACAAGCAAAATCAATGGAGAAGCCAACAGGAACTCAGGAGTCATAGTGATTTTTATTTATTTTATTTATTAATAAAATTTATATGCCGCCCAATGGCTGTGTGAAAGTTGTTTAAACCACAACTAGAACTACTGTTGTAAGTCAGTGCATTCATGTGATGTGCTTTCACTTAGCAATAGAATTCCCAGTCCAAATTACACTGCCATTGTAAACAGGATGCATCACCTGTACTTTGCTTATAAAAGGAGTTAAGAAGAGATGGAGAAATTTTGTTAAGTCTTCAACTAGTGCATCTTTTAAGTTATCAGCACTTTATTACCCCTGCCCCCAAAATAAAACGAATCAATATTTGTTTGGGTTATGTCACAGTTCTGTCCTAATGCCACGCCAGCTCTGAAAAATGCTGTAGCTCCTGGGTTAATGTTACATATCAGTTATCTTAAAGAGGCAGTCTTTACCGCGAGCCCATGACACTTCAGATCCCAAAACCAGTTTCCAGAAATAGCTTTCCATGGAAACCAGAGGACACCCTCCTCCTCACCCTCCTCCTCTGCAAACACAGACGTGAACTACAGCTCCCAGCATGCACCTGGCTTTCCTCTTCTCAATTTTTTCCGATCACAGCCGATAAACTCCAACTCCCAGCATACATCAAATTCATATCCGGTTAATGTGTAACGACGGCTCCCAAGGCGCTTAGAATACACGTTTCTTAATGCGGCCTGTGTTGATTTCCCGTAGCGACACTGCCAAAGTCTTTAGCTGGCAGCTATGGCGCGGTGCATGTCGGGGAGGGAAACCGCCAGGGGAGGAGGGGCCGCTTCGGAGCCGGTTGGATTCCACGTGGTGCACTCTCGAGGACGAGGGGAGACTCAGGAGAAAAAGAGAGGCGACGCTTTGCGACGCTCTTCTTTTGCAGCAGCGCGGTCAGGCGCGATTGCCGTATATCGAGTAACGAGATACCGGCTGGCGTAGAGCAGCTTTGCCTGTGTGGCTTTCGAGCCGGCTGCGGGGAGGCGGAGAGGAAGAGGAGGAGGCGCGGAAGAATAGAGGGCTCCGCCTTGCCTTACCCGCTCTCGCAGCCGCTTTCCCCTCTTCTCCCCACTGTACCTGGATGGTCCGCGTCGCGGCGGCGGCGGTGGGGCCTCCTCCTCCTCCTGCCTGGTGCCTGCGGCGGCGGCGGTGGCGGGCGGGGGCTTCGCAGGGTGGGGTGCCCTCTGAGGAGGCGGCCAGCCCGGGCGCTGAATGAAGATGGACTATGATTTCAAGGTGAAGCTGACCGGGGAGCGAGAACGCGTGGAAGACCTCTTCGAATACGAGGGCTGCAAGGTGGGGAGGGGGACCTACGGGCACGTCTACAAGGCCAAGCGGAAGGACGGGTGAGTGAGCCGGGACGCCTTGCGAAGGTTGGGCCGCCGCCCTCTCCCCCCCTCCCCGTGACTTTCGGACGCCGCCTTTCCTCAATCTGCTGGCCTCCAGACGTGTCAGACTACAAGTCCCATCACTCTCCGTTGGGCAGGCTGCTTAGGCTGTAATCCGACACGGCTGGAGGTCGCCAAGTTGGAAAAGGTTGCCGCAGTGCCTCTCTCCCTTTTCTCCTCTTCGCCTTTCTCTTTCTCCCTTTGGGGTCGGGCTGCCTGTTTTCTCTCTGCCCTGGAGCCCTCCTTGAGGACTTTTCGGTCTGCCACGCAGTCTACTTCGCTACGGTCCTCTCCGGAGGTATGTTCCTGGGCGTTGACGGCTGCACCGTAACTTTCTCCACTGCTCTGCCCTTTTTGGGGAGAGGAAGCGCTTACCTGTGGAGCTCTGATCAGGATCTGACCTCAGACCTCTTCTCTGAGCCTGCTTTTGTATAATGCCTTGCCATCAACGTATGAAAAAGGGAATGGTAGTCCACTAAAGCTTGTGCAGCAGTTAACCCTTAGTCCTTCTCATTCCATAGACATAAATATTCGATTGCAGCTTCGTCATCTTCGAAGAGGATGGGGCACAAATGGGGTGGGTGTAGCACATTGGGAAAAAGCCCTTCTTTGCATTTAGGAAGCAGAGAGAGGATTTTTATCCTGAACTGCATTGCTTTATGCATCTAGTCCTGCATGGCTTATGACTCTAGTCGCAATTCTTCACAATCTCAGGCAAAGCCAGGTCTTTTTCATCATCTACTACCTGATGCTTTACACATGCTGGATGTTTGTGCAGGCAAAATACATGCTTGGTGACTGTTATGCCTTTTCCCCTATGGAAACAAGCCTGTCTCTACTAAGTCTGTTACATCTCTGTTTTTAAAAATATCTATCTATCTATCTATCTATCTATCTATCTATCTATCTATCTATCTATCTATCTATCTATTTCTTGCCTATAATTACTCTTCTAAATATTTTACTGTCCTCCCCAACTAGCTTTTTGCAAAGCTCTTCCCATTCTCTTGGTTGTAATCCAATATTATTTAGTGTTGGATTTAATTACTGACATAATTATCATCAACTTTTCCCTTTGCTCCACCACTATCATGCTTTACAATTGCTTTTCTGTTTGCAAGTATAAATAAAACATTGGATAGTGGGACAAGAATATATAATTAAAATGAGATAGCAGATAACTTCCAGAACATGGCCTGTCTTCATACTTACCTTCTTATGGTCGTGTCCCTGGCTTTTATGTTAACAATGTCTCTTGTCTCTTATCCTACTAGCAACACATTAATGTGTTCATAACTGGTATCAAACGATTATGGTTTTATTTGTTTTATTTCCTTCACTCTTCATCTTATACTATACATAACATCCTAATTAATACAGATCTTCAGTAAACAGCCAGCATAATGTTTTTTTAAAATGCTCCCTGCTGAATATGGTGGCTAACATTTTGAAAACTATTATGTCAGTTCTGGGTAAGTTGTATTTAATTTTTGTATTTTAATTTAAGATACAATATTGTGTTGCTGTAAAATTTCATGCTGGCTACATATATTGCTTCAGCTACCATAAAAAAGATGTGGGTTTTTTTTTAATGTGAATTGTTATTCAACTTTAACATATTTCAAGTAGTAGTTAAATATTATTTTACCAGGTGACATACTTTTTGAAAAGTAATAACCTATAAATTTTCTTAATACAATATATACACTTATAGTTCTAAAATGTGGACAACAGGATGTTAGCTTACAAGATAGTCTTTAAGGATCCTAGCTTTTATAAAATAGCATGAGTGTGCAGAAAATAAATATCAGCTTTGGTTATATTTGTGGTTAAAATGTCCCCAAACTAACCTGTACTATTCTTACTTTTAGCAGGGAAAATTAAGTCTGGTGCAATTGTGGCCAAGAGTAGTAAT